ACCACCACCACCTCCACCTCTGCCGCTGCCCCAAGCACCGCCGCAACAGCATCAGCAGGAGGAGGAGGAGGACCAGGAAGCCGCAAGGCCTCTACCACGACAGCCACCGACCCTACCACCACCACAACCACCACCGCGGCGCTCAATCCCCAAACTCTTCCCGCCACCGAATCCACCTCCGCAGGCCCATCACTCCTGGAGAGCAAGACCGCCGGCCGCCTGGCCGAGGACCTGGACCTGGCCTCGGGCCAGCAGAGCGACACCATCCCCGCCAGTCTGCACGATAGCGCCGACGACGAGAGCGAGCTCAGCGAGATGGACGACGAGAAGCTGTCCAAGCTCACCACGGAGCGGAAGTTGTTGTTCCCGAACCTCCGGGATGGGTCGCTCGATCCTGAGTCGGAGCTGGAGGGGCTGGCCAGTGGGGCGGATGGGGAGGATGTGGATGTGGAGTTGGGTGATGGGGAGGGTGAGGAGGAGGGTGAGGAGGAGGAGGAGGAGGAAGAAGATGATGATGAAAGGGAAGGGGAAGAGGGCGATACTATGGTTGAGGATGTTGATGTTGATGTTGATGATGAGGGTGAGGGTGAGGGTGAAGGTGAAGGTGACGAAGGGAATGTGGATATGGAAGGGGGTGAGGAGGAAGAGGAAGAGGTAGAGGGGGGGGAAGAGGAAGGCGAGGAAGAAGAGGAAGAAGAGGAGGGGGAGGAGGAGGAAGTTGGTGGCGAGGATGATGATGAGGGTGATGTCGAAGGCGATGGGGAGGATGAGCCCCTGGGCGACGCGGAAGGGAACGAGACCGCCGATGAAGTGGACGCGGCCGCGGACGCTGGTCAGCTCGAGATTGCGGGCACGGACGATGATGAGGGCATGACTGAGGCAGAGCCTTGAGCCAGCCCTTGACCCAGAAATTCTATTGTTCCTTGTGGGGTCAGCCTCGATTCCCACAATTTGTATCATTACAATTCCTCTTCATTTTGTTCAGCTAAGGACAAACCAAGGTCGGCGTTACCGGGAAGAGCTGCTGGGTCACGAGATGTCTGTGCAAGTAATGAATGTACTTTGTACTGTGCCATAGAATTTAAGAACATGAATAGCAACAGGGATGGAAGTAAAGTTCCAGTAATTTGCCCACAAACGCCAACATTCCAGACGGATATCATAAACCACAAGCAGGAAAACTAGTTCAACCCCGACGCAAACAAACAAGAATCCCACCAAAGGGTCAATCATTCAGATTAGTACAAGTAGTCATCACGGACAGAGGAAGCTCATCCCGCGAAGCAGCCTTAGTAAATGTCCTCCTCCGGAGCCAAGTCCCATTTCCTGGTGGCCATCTTGCGATGTTTCTTGCCAGGAGACGAAAGCTGCTGCGGGGCCGGCGAGAACATACTGTCGGCCAGTTTCAGCTGGTCCATGCGCTTCAAGGCATTCTCGACATCGCTCTCCCGGCCAAGGATGTTGGAGTTGCGGGAGGGCTCGAGCGTCGTGGTGGTCGTGGTGGTCTTGGCTCGGATCTTCTTGGTGGGCGATCGGCAAGTGAGCTCGCGCTCCAGCGCGGCGACCTTCTTGCGCAGCTGCTCGTTCTCAAACTCGAGCTCCTCCATGCGCTCATTGTTGGTTGTGTCGGGGTCTTCGTAGACTGGAAGGATAATTAGTTTCGTCGATGTTGCAGGAGAGCACGAGCAAGAAGAGGCAGGTACTTACTCTGGAAGCCCCGCGAAAACAACTCAAGCTTCTTATCCAAGTGCTCTTCGTTATGGCCAGTCTGCTTGAAGTTAGAGTCAAAATCGCACAGTTCGCAGAAGAGGAGGCTAACCTGCTCGTCCCAAGCGTTCTGCCACCGGCGTCTCTCTTCTTCCATCCTCTCGTCCATCTCGTTCCAACATTCCTCACGCACGTCTTGCTCGATGGTGAGACACATCTCTTCGCTTGCTTTCAATCTCATGGCCAAGTCCGTTCTCACGATCTCTTCCTCGGCGAGTCTCACTGAAAGGTTCTCATTCTCGGCTCGGAGTCGCTCGATCTCAGCTGCTGCCTTCTCCAATTCTTCGGCCGCGACTGAATTCGTCGACTCACGTCCGCCAATAGAGCCATGACGAGATTCGAGAGTGCTGGACAAGATGGACTCTGTGGCCGACGGGGCTCGGGGCACAGCAACTTCGCGTGCCAAAGCGGAGTAGCGGAGTATTTGCGAGGTGGCATTGTAGTCTCCCCATGGGTTAGCCGTCACAATCATGATGGCTTTCTGCGGGTGGCGGAACTGGCCAAAAGCCTGACCAGGCGACGGGAAAGAGTTCGAAAAGAGCAGCTCTGTGAGCTTGCACTGCCTAAATGGGACCATAGTCGCCTTTTTGAGTCAGAAAAACTGGCGAAGACAAGAGAAGAGCTTCTTCGTGTGGCATACCTTGTTGCCTTCCTGAATATCGCTTTGCATCTGTAGACATTGTCCGAGGTACATCAAGCTCTCGTTAATCTTGCCTGCCTCCGCAAGGGTAGATCCTGCCGTCTTCGCAGTTCTTGCGCGCTCGGACCCTGATGCTTGATTAGCACATTTGGTATGTCGAGGCAGAGGCTGAGCTGAAAATACCGGCTAAATCGGCCACTGTGAGTGTGTTTCCCATCCATGTCTCTTCGCCGGTTCTCTTGTTGCGCATTCGTCTTTTGACCTCCAGACAGAAGAACCCATGACTGCGGGAACTGACGCTATTGGCCCCGGTGCCTGCAACCTTTCGCTCAGTAAGTCCAACCTCCAAAACCGACAAAGCTTCTTCGTAAGTGCAGCATGCGATCTTACGCAGGCCCGCAACGACCTTCCTGTCAGGCGATCCCTCCGTCGACTTGAAGAATAGCGGTCTGCGGCGGTCCTTCTGCCCACCTCCCGGGCGAGTCATTGTGCTTCCTTGACCAGGGACGATAGCCGGTGAAAGAAGGTCAAAGATACGATCGTTGTACACTTCATACATCGAAACCAGAACCACGTATTCCGAGTGTGGGTTCAGCTCCATCGTAAGATGGCTCACGTCGGGCGATCGGGGGAGGGCGCCAGTGCGCAAGGGCATTTGACGACGGGGAAAGATGAGCGCTGGCATGGGTTCCTTTGAAGCAAGAGAGGGTGAGTTAGCACAACATGTTTTGTAGCGATTCCAACGTCCGTGTGGGGTTGTCAAATGGGATCCTAGCTGCTTCCGATCCGGCGTCTTGCTACCGTACCGAATGAAGAGGGGATTCGGCAGACCAGGGGTGGGGGAACCGCCAAGGGCTGGCTTTGAGTTTATCCGCGGGCCATACGCAGCGGGCAATTGACAGCTTGTAGGGACCAGCACTCGAGACCTTGGGGTGGGTTGCAATATAGGCTGGGGGAAAGGGCTCCGTACCGCCATGGGGGTTTGCGCTCGTCCGGCACTCATTGGGGTCTGAGCTCTGGGACTCCTGCTACGATCGACCGATTCACCGTATACAGCTTCGAGGAACGTCTGCGCACTAAAGATCTGGGCTTCAGAGGCATCGGCGGCGGCGACAGAGGACAAGAGAAGGGGGCTGATAAAGTTGTCGAGGGGTCTGATCGTCGAAGCGAGGGACCGGAAGATCACATCCAAGCTCATCTGGGTGATACCTCGCTGCGTCTTGGAGCCCAGAATGGTATGACTCTGCGGATTCTCATTAGCATTCCCGCCTACAACCACGGCTAGACTAGCAGACCTTTCCACTACCCGTGACGCCCAGCGTCGCGACCAGGCCATCGCGTCCTTCCGACAAAACACCTTTTATCAAGTTCTCCAGTCCCGTGCCCTCGAAGACGCCCAGCTGACAGGCGGACTCGTCGAAGACTTGTGTAAACCCGAACTTCTCGACGGCGCGCTTCCGGGAGTCGCTGAGAGGGTGTAAAGTGATATGCGTAGGCGGGGCATCCTGGTGGTTGTTTTCAGTGGTGTATACCTGCTCTGGAGTCTCGATGGTCAAACAACGCTCAGCCTGTTCCTCTTCGTGCTGGGACATAGGAGGCCGCAGGCGAAGGTACACCTGGAACAGGGAGGTGGGGGGCGATTTTGTCGAAGCCATGTTTGCTGCTGGTGGGTAGTACACGCCTGCTCACATCCAAACTAAGGGTCTAGATACAGTGCATGAGAGTTGGGTAGATGACGATTGGAGAGGGTCACGTTAGCCTGGAGGAGAGGCGCTGTGCCCAGTGTTGATGGGTCTTATCCGAATCGGGATATTTTCGTCGTCCCGGCAACGCCTTCCGCATGGGGAAAATCTGGGGTTAAGCCACCATCATGTTTACTAGGTATACTCTGTAGATTACTCCGTACTCAGTCTTCCAATATCTTTTATCGATACCCCACGGAGCTCTCTCTAGTCAATGTCAGCCTTGAGTCAACCTTCACAGCCACCATGCACTATCAATGACTGTCCCTGCGAGGCTGACTTCGTGGAGCCAATCACAACGAGCACAGCCTTGCTCGTATTCGCTTGCTGTCGGCGAGGATGCCAAGCCAAGTCTCGAGGATGGGTCTCAGGGTCTCAGGGTCCATCCATCATCATCACCAGAGACAAAGACCTGGATCCAACAAGGCTAAATTCAAACCAGGGGAGGACTTGGAGAAGGCATGATGCTCCTGGCCATTCAGGACCGCTGGTGTGCACCATGGAGGGAGACTTGGGGCTTATCCCATGAATGATCAACTCAGTTGACGATCGGGCAACAACTCTACAGCTCAGCCCTCAAACTGATCGTTTAAGGTTGGATGTTTAAGTCAGAGGCACATCTGGAGCCTCCCATAGGGCCGTGGCTGATTACTGAATTGAGGTTGCTCGTTTTCGCTAATGGGGCTCTGCCACACGCTGGACATATATATTTCGTGGACCGGGACATAGCAAGAGCATTTAATTGTTTAGCAAATACGCTTCACTCATCATCGAAGCATCTTAGCAATAGTCGTCATCGTCGTCGTCGTCGTCTAATTTGATTTGGCTTTTTCTTTACCTACTATACCGTGATGCTGGACAGAAGATCGCCGTACCGTACGCACCTTAGTCCAGGCCTGAATGTGAGATCCAGTACTAACGTCCAACAGAGGAGGATAGCTACTGGTATTATGCTCCCAACAAGGGTGCTCCTATCACTTTCGCCATCTGGTTCACTATCTCTGGAATCTGGCACATCTATCAATGCATGTATGCAGCTCCCATGGAGACCCTCATCCTTTCCCGCTACTGACGACGACTGCAGAAAGTATAAGTCCTGGAAAGTGACCGGGATCTTGCCCTGGTCGGCACTGCTCTTCACAGGCGGCTTTGTGCTACGGGCTGTTGCCGCCTGGGGTCACTGGGATAACCTGGTGATCTACATTGTCAGCACGGTTCTTCTACTCGCTGGCCCGTAAGTAGCGCTCTCGCCGAAGAAGACCTACGACTAACAGATCTCGAGACCGGTCTACGAAGCAGCCAACTACCTGATCCTCGGGCGAATCCTTTACTACATCCCCTACCACTCACCAATCCATCCGGGACGGGTCTTCACAACATTTCTTGCGATGAGCATGGTCATCGAGGTGCTCACTGGGAACGGTGGTGCGCTGGTGGCCAACGTCGAGAACCCACAGCGCAAGCAAGACATCGGCAAAGGGCTGCTCAAAGCGTCCCTGATCTTGCAGCTCGTGCTGATGGCAGGGTTCCTTGCTCTGACCTTGAGGTTCCACTATAACTGTCGGCGCGGTGGGGTCTTGAATCGCAAGTTGAAGCACGCCTTATGTGTGTTGTACTGCAGCTGCGGGCTGATCACCGTGCGGACGATCTATCGGACGGTGGAGTACTTCACTGCGGCCAGCCTGAACGTGTCCGACATCAAGGACATCAGTCCTGTTCTCAAGGACGAGTGGTTCTTCTGGGTGTTTGAGGCGACTGTGATGTATGTTAACACCGCGATGCTGAACATCTTCCATCCGATGCGGTGGCTTCCACGCTCCAACAAGACCTACCTTGCGAGGGATGGGTTCACTGAGCTGGAAGGACCGGGGTATTGTGACAATCGCCCATTTCTCCTCACCCTCTTTGATCCTTTTGACTTGGTTGGGTTGTGCAAGAATGGAGGAAGACAGAAGAGGTTCTGGGAGGACGAGGCAGCCAGGAATTTTGATCACAACACCAGCTCCAAGGAAGGGCACGTTGCTGTGTAGATTGGGGGTGAGGGCTGGGTTGTCTTAGCGCATTTCGTTCTTGTTTAGCACAGAGACTATAATGATACTAGTGTTTAGATTCCAGAGTTGCATGGTGCGAGAGTAGACCTGCAGTGTTGGGTAGACTTGTAGTGTTTGGAGTTCGTTGTAGCTGACTGAAATGACTGACGTCTTCCACTCCGGCGGATCTTCCGCCCCGCCTGCCCCGCCCCGCCATCTCAGGAAAGGAGCTGCTTTGGGTTCCAGTTCCAGTCCAGCTCCAGCTCCAGCTCCAGCTCCAGATCCCATCGAACCAACCAGGCCAGCCTCCATTTGTCTCTGCTGTTATCTTCAACCATCGCTCGTTCTGCAACTGCATCAGAATTAGACTCCATCCCCCCGCTCATCAACAGCCATCAATCTCTCGACCGACTCTTCCACCTCACAACCCCGCTTTACCTCTCTCTCCCCACCACACACACACCCAACACTGCAATCAAGATGGGCAGCCAAAAGCGGATAGCCAAGGTAAACACTGCACTGCGCATCCCATCCTCCATACCCTCTCACCCTTAGACCCCCACTAACAATCCAAAAGGAACTCGCCGAACTCACCGAATCCGCCCCCGAAGGCATAACCGTCAAGCTAGCCGACGAATCCAACCTCTACATCTGGAACGTCTACATGGAGGGACCCGAGAATTCGCCTTACCAGGTAAGCAGGCCCCAACCCTGACCATACCCTACCCCCTCCCAAAAAAAAACCCCCACTAACCCCCCCTACCTTGTCACCAGAACGGAACCTTCCACCTCACCCTCACCCTCCCAACCGAATACCCCTTCAAGCCGCCGACGGTCTCCTTCCGGACGAAAATCTACCACCCCAACGTCACCAACGACGACAAGGGGAGCATGTGCCTGGGGATGCTGCGGGCGGACGAGTGGAAGCCCAGCTCGCGCCTGGCGGCCGTGCTGCAGTTCGCGCGCCAGCTGCTGGCCGAGCCCATGCCGGACGACGCCGTCGAGGGCCGCATCGCCGAGCAGTTCAAGGGGGATTTCGCCCGGTACGAGGAGGTCGCGCGCGAGTGGACGCGGAAGTATGCTGTGCGGGGGTAGGGCGGGTTGGTGTACATACTTTGTCGATATGTTGGGATGGGGATATGTGTGGATCGGTGGTAGATTACTTTTAATATAAATATTTGTTTTCTTTTTTGCTTTTTTGCTCGCTGTCGGGGGTCGGGGGTTTGATGGGGCTTCGTTCTTATACCGCGCAGGTTGTTGCGGTTTGTTTGCGTTCATGTGTTTGTATTGTCGGTTGCATTGTTGTTGTTCAATAGATGCTTGCCTGGGGTTGATTTGGTCGGTAACGTGTGGTATGCCTGCCTGGTGTCTGAGGTTGCTTGGCTTGTGACGAGCAAGATTCTGGTGGATTGTATTTTGAGCTCTACTAGATGCTTTCTATCCGGATGTGGCAAGATTAGTTCAAGGCTCTGGACGTATTGCGCGATCCTCTACAGGTTACTGACCAGTTGATTCCGTCAGGGCCCATAACTACTGAGGATAGGCGTTTACGGAAGGTTAACATCCGGGCCAAGTAGCTACTCTACTACCCGTTTCTATAGAAGCATAATCACCGAAAATGGAGTATCAGACAAATCGGCGTGCACACTGAGAATTTTTCAGTCATATCCTCTCAGTCAGTCTAGCAATACCACAGATGAGCTCGATTGTCCTTGAAGCTAAAGCCGCTGATGCAGGCATCACGATAGGCAGCGCACAGATGGTCGCTCAAAGCAGCACAAAGCAACCATGCGTCTGACCCTATCTTAACTCAGTCAATCCCACCGTGGTCCAGCCAAACTTCTCCAACCCAAAACTTCTACTGTCTTGTTCGTGGGCATCAAACCCCTGCACGAGATCTGGTTAATGTCGTCCCCCGGCGAAGATTACGGTAAATCAACTTCAAGATCGAATCGACTAATCTTCAAGCCCCCTTTCCAGGCTAGTAGCGCCAGGATACTAGGCACAGGACACTCCTCTTCTGTCACTTATCATGATGATGTTAGACCAACCATTCCAAGCCTCCATGTGCAGGATGCAGCAGGCCTGAAACATAAATATGAGCGAGGCAGCAGATGCTGGGGGTCGATTGACGCGGAGAAAGCACAGGCCTGAGGTTGAGGGCTCGCTTCGTAGCAGGGGCGCTTGTTGGGAAATGGCAATGTAGTGCACAGCCTTGGACACTGTCTCTCTTCGTCAATGCGCATCAGAGTATCGTGGTGCCCTCAGTTTGCAGACTGAGCAATAACCGAAGTTACCGCTAGATCTTCAGGTCGCATGGCTGAGCCAATGTTGCATGGTGGTCAATGCGCGCTTGACGATATATTGGGATAGATTCTCGACTGCAATTGAGCTGGACTGAGAAGTTGCCGGTGGCCTGCAAGTCGTCACGAACGATGACGCAGTGCTAAAAACGTGGTCGGTGGCCCGGGGAAATCGATGTTGCCCGGAGATTGAATGCTAATCTCAATTAATCCGGGCGACAAGATTGTCCTAATGGACACCAAATCGGATTAGGCGCCCAGCTCGGCGCCAGCGAGATGAGGGATCGGGCTCGACTATATTTAAATGGACGGCCGACACGTTCGTCATCGCCAGGACCCACCATATGGCCGCATTGTCCGGATTCGGCGGGCGCCAGGGCTTGACACTATTGCCATGATTAGTGGGATCAGGGATCAACAACCGCGCGGTGGATGGTGGCCGTGAACGTGTCGGCGCCTTTCGTGGTTGACAGTAGCCTTGTCCCTGGGACGGGCAACAGTGAGGCTACTTTGACGCCATTCGCTGCTCAATTCGGAGTGGTGCTGCTGGTAGTAATGCAGAAAATTCTTCAGGCAAGGGTCTAGGCCGAAGCATCTCGGGGCTTTTACTTATAGAAACAGTAGAGATGGAGGCTCATTGAATAAACGAACGGGAAGCGAGGCCAGTGATCCATGGAACGGTTATTAGCCGGGCACAAGTGGAGATGAAGTCAAGACTCAAGCGGGACAGTTTTGGCGTTTTCTTTTCAAGGTTATTGAAGAAGACACCTGTGGCCTGCCGTTGATAACGTCAATGGGAGGAAAGCGGGCCCGGCGAGGAAGTTCTTGATGAGTTCATCTTGTTCTTGGTTCGTTCTGACTTGGCGACTAGAATCCCTGAAGCGGAACTAGTCCGGCCTTAGGTAGGAAGGGCGTCAACCTCAGCTCCTCAGGCTCCTCAGGCTCAGGTACGGCCGCAAGTGGAGACTTCATCACGGGACGATCGTCCAATTGCTGACGCGCCCCCACCTGACTCAGGAACAATAGAATGTCGCATCAATCACCTGAATCCCTTAAGATACTCCGAAGGGTCCGATGCCATGGTAGGATGGTGCAAGATGCACTGCAGACTTATCAAGTATTCTCGCTAGAGGCTCATCTTCATTTCCGCAGATGACCTCTTTTTAAGTCAATCAACAAAAGTCCAAAGCCAAAGCCAAAGCCAAAGCCAAAGCCAAAGCCAAAGCCACTCCGGGAGTGACCCGTCAGTTCCTGCGGTCGACAGACGGCAGGCTGGGCGAGCCACGGCGAACTTTGAAGCTTCCGCGAGTGGGTGGGCGCAAAGGGGAGACGGCCGGAGTCTGACTGAAACCAAGGCGTCTCCACCGGGTACGAACCATACCAACGGTAATTTCGGTAATGTTGCCAGTTTCTTCATCTGCCAGCAGCCAAAGAGGTCATCCCAGGTCATCAGAGGTCATCAGAGGTCATCAGAGGTCATCAAACAAAACCGGTTTCTGTTTTGGGGGGGGGCATCATCAGATCTGTCTGTCCATGACAGAACAACCAACACCATTGAGATTGTTAGCATCGGATCTGTAATCGGGTCGGATCCTTCCTAACTTTCTCCGGGGGCGCGGCAGTGCACACTAACCATGCAGCCTGCCTGCAGCAGCTGCAGGTCAGTCTGTGACTGAGTGACCTGTCAGCAGGGGCAATTGATATAATATGATAGATTGTTTGTCGGCAGTAGGCTATCCATTGTCGACTGATCAGTCCACTGAAGGGGGTTTTCTAGGTTGGTGTTTCTAGTCTTCGGTGCAACCCCTTGTGCAGCAGCAACCCAGTGCAATCAACGTAATCAATATCAAACCCCAAGTGTAGTTAGTTGGACTGATCTCATCCTGGCGTCAGTCTGAAACCCATGCCCAAGAAAAGGACGAAAAGAACCGGATTAACGAGGTTGAGAAGCTAAAATAAAATACATCAACGGTAACTGCTCAGTATAACTTCTTACAAGGCTAAGCCCGACAGGGTCTTTCTTCCCATTCGAGACCTGCGCTAGCCTCGATCCAGCTCCGCCGTCTTTTTTTTTTTCCCCTTTTCCCTTTCGGTTCGTTGTTTCGTTCTCTGTTCTTTCGCTCTCTCTCTTCGGCCATTCTCACCACACCCGTGACCTCTTTTATCCCTCCCATTTCCTCGCCTTCCCCCCCACTCCCCTTCTTCCTCTTCCCTTTTCCTCTTTTCGAGTTGATCTGTCATGGGATGGAGTCTCGGATTGACCCTCTGGTAGGATCGTGAGACTGTGCGGATGGATTGTTTCCTTCTGGGCTGAACGAGGCATGACCGTTACTTTACTTACTCTTACACACGCTTCTCTTCGCTCGTTTCATCTACGCGCCTGACAAGCCAGCGCACTTACTCGACTACTCTTCGCTCGTTTATCGCTGTCACTATCCGCCCCCCTGGTCTCAATAGGCGTCTATTTCTACTTCAACTTCCCTTCGTTTCCTATCATTCAAACCTGGTCTCTTCTGTCCACCTCTGTCCACCTCTGTCAACATCGGAATCGGTAATTGGAAATTGTCGATTCACCTGCGTTCGCCCTCCGATCATCGCTCAGTGTTGTCGACAAATGTCCAGCGGGAACTGGGGTTCAACAGCTCGTGGCCATGGTCACAGGAAATGCAGACTTTCGTTATCCGCCGCCCCCTGCTGGCGCGCATGATATCCCTAGCCGGCGCAGAATCCCGAACCCACCCCGCCTGGATCCTCTGAGATTGAATCCTCCCTTCCCACGACCGGCGACGGCGGACGGCCCTCGGCCGCCCCTTTCCCCTCACCACCCTCCTCCTGTGCCTCGTTCCCCCCGGATTCGCCCACCAATCCCACCGCCGTCCGATCCCTCATGGCGCTCCGTCTCCCCCTTGCCTGTGGAGGATGACGACTTTGTCATTCGCCAACAGGCCTACCGCTCCCCCACATTTCCTCTGCAGCCGCCTGTTCGGTCCAGGGCCGCCCCCCGAGAAGGGGAGGTTGATCGTCCACCTTACCGGAAGTCCCCGCCTGCTCCGCCAGCGTTGCGCACGTCCAATTCTACGTCGAAACTACATAGCATGCGTCCGCAGCTGCACCCTCATCGAAATCGAGAACGCCTGCCAGACGAATCCGCCGCCCTTAGATTGCCCCGAATCATCCCGCCTGGGACATACGCCGAGATGCGCGGGCAAGATGCTCTCCGATCCAGCGTGAACTCGGCCATGACCTCGCGGTCGAGCATTGAACATGCCAGCGGAACCGAGCGGAGCAGTGTCCTGACCAAAAGTAGCTCTATTACCGATCTGTCGCCCGATACACCCGATGGCTCCTATGACAAGGAGGGTGGCATGAGTGTGGAAGATGCAATTTCAATGTACCTGGATGGCTTCAGCGATGTCACCGAAGAGCCAGGATCGCCCGGGGTGTATGATTCTTCAGGGTTCTACGATGAGAGCAAGGCTCGACCATTGAGCCCACGTCCACCCACGGAGATCACCCTCGATGATTGTCATAGCTCGGATGAGCATTCTCCTGAACTGGAACCCACAGAAGATGTTCCGCCTGTTCCGCCCTTTCCCGAGTTAGAGCCTCACGGAAGGAGCTCACCGGATGAAGAATTCTTGGGCGAGACAGCTTCCCACGACCAGTCGCCGAGCCCCCCTTCGGAACGCAAGTTTTTGGATCCGCCTGTTGCACGAGAGCCGGAGACCACAGTCATCATTCCTGGCATCGTGCCGCCACCGTTACTACCCGGCAATGGGGCCCGCGACTGTTATGGCTTCCGCAAGGCAACCCACCACGTTACCCTCGTCCAGTATGAAGCATGGCATGCCCAGTACAAGGATTACACTTCTCAGCGAAGAATCAAATGGGTGGAGCTGCTTCGGGAGAATCGGCTTCCTATCAACGAACCGACGACGTTTCCCCCCAAATCGAACAAGGTCAAACGGTTTGTGCGCAAGGGCATCCCATCCGAGTACCGCGGTGCAGCATGGTTTTTCTATGCGGGAGGCTACGAGCATCTGAATCGGAACCCTGGCCTCTATGACCAGCTGGTTCGACAGTCCATGGAGTCGCCTAGCAATGACGACAAGGAACACATCGAACGCGATCTGCATCGAACCTTCCCGGACAATATCCACTTCAAGCCGGAGAACGTTGACTCGGCCGCTAGCTCTGGTAGCAGCAACCCGAGACACGGGTCTGTCACGGTTGAAACGGAAATGATCCAGTCTCTGCGGCGCGTCCTGTATGCTTTTGCTCTTCACAACCCGCAGATTGGCTACACCCAGTCGTTGAACTTCATCACCGGAATGCTGCTTCTGTTTCTTCCGGAAGAGAAGACGTTCTGGATGCTGCACATCATCAGTTCCGTCTATCTCCCCAGCACGCATGAAATCAGTCTCGAGGGCGCCAATATCGACCTGTGGATTCTGATGGTGCTGCTGAAAGAATCGGCGCCCAACATCTACAACAAGATCGCCGGGAGTGGACCTGGGGCGGGGAGCGGGAAGGTGCCAGCCCTCACGGTCAGCTCGCGTCTGCCCGACATCACCCTGGGGCTGACCAACTGGCTCATGTCCGTCTTTATCGGCACCCTGCCGCTGGAGACCACGCTCCGGGTCTGGGATGTGTTCTTTTACGAAGGGTCGAAGACGTTTTTCCGGGTGTCGTTGGCGATTTTCAAGTCGTGCGAGCAGGATATCATGGGGGTGTCGGACCCGATGGAGGTGTTCCAGGTGGTGCAGACGGTCCCGAAGCGGCTGTTGGATGCGAATTCGTTGATCGATGATTGCTTTGTCCGGCGACATCGGGTCGGACAAGGGCGGATCGAGGAGTTACGCGCGGCACGCCGGACGGCAGTGCGCCAAGAGAACATGCGTCGGTCGCGCGCGATGAACATGGGCCAGCTCCAGGCGGCGACGGACGACTGGGCGCATGGACGATCGCGAACGCCGACTCATGGGATCGAGCGCAGTATCGCGGATTCCTGGCGGCACATGAAGCGTCACCATGGCTTTTGATGAAAAAGGGGGAGGGAGGGCGTTGAGGTTGCCCAGGCGGGCATGCTATGTATTTATTGATACCCAGATTAGCTTGATTCTACACTCTTCGGCTGTTTTTGATGCAGACGTCACTTGTTTGCTTTTCTGTTGGTTGGTTGAATAACTAATTGCTGTTACACTGCTAATACTTAATGAAGGACCGGCAGGCAGACAAGTTGGTGTACATAGACAGGACGACGCGAGTGGCAATTAATGTTTCGTTTGTTTTGATGACGCTGTGATCTGAGATGGATGGAGTACTGAAGTAGATTGGGTTGAGCGATCCATGGACGAGCTCGGCGGACTCGGCGGGAGACGATCAAAGTCGATCGATTCTCTCACGATGACGCGCTCTGTTGTGCGGGTGTAACCTTCGGCCAGCGCCGCATGCGTCTTCACTGACTTCACTTCACTTGATCTGCTGCCCCTTTTCACTTCATTCCATTTCTTCATCATGTTGACTACCTCTTGCATGCTATCTTGATTACCCACCAGACTTTTACTGGTTCTCGTCGGTTTTACACAGTATATTGATCGACCTCTTCATTCCTGTCTCCCGCCTTCACAGCCACAGCATGCGGCAACCATGAGCGGTCAAGCAGCCAGCTATTACAACACCGACCAGCGCTTTGACGGCCCTCCGTCTCAGCAGCAGCAGCAGCAGCAGCAGCAGCAGCAACAGCAGCAGCAACAGCAACAGTATTACAACAATGGCTACCCTCCTGCCCCCAACGGAGGAGACTACCGCGGCCCGGAGCCCAAACCACCTCAGCCACCACAAGAACCACCCCCAACCTACAACCAGGCCGTCTACGGCTTCGACGACGCCTTCAAGGTCGAGAAACCGAAATGGAACGATCTATGGGCTGGTCTTCTGGTGCCTCCCCCCCCCCCTTCCCCTGCCCCTGTTCCCCCTCTTAACGCACCACTAACAGCAACCCCAGCTCATCGCCGTCTTCCTAGGCTACGCCGCCGTCTCCGGCGTCGTCATCTACCGGTACAGCAAATACCACACCCTGAACGGCGGGGGCATCTACGGCGCGGCGAACGACTTCTCGCTGAACACGAACACGGTGATCCTACTGGTATTCGTGCTGGCGGTGGCGCTGGTGCTGTCGTACGCGTACTGGGTCGGGGCGCGCACATTCCCCAAGCTCTTCATCTGGGTGACGGGGATCCTAAATATCGTGTTCGCGCTGGCGACGGCGATCTACTACCTGACGCAGCACCAATGGGGTGGGGGCATTGTGTTTCTGATCTTCGGGGTGTTCGCGATCGTGTGCTTCATCAGCTGGATCCCGCGGATCCCGTTCACGGCGTTCATGATGCAGACGTCCATCGACGTGTCGCGGCGCTACGGGCACATGTTCCTGGTGAGCACAGTGGGCGGGCTGGTGGCGGTGGCGTTCGGGGCGTGGTTCTCGGTGACCCTCGTGTCGATTTACGTCGCGTATGAGCCCGGCGGGAACGGGGACGGGGTGAACCCTGCGTGTCGCGACGGAGGGGGCGGGTGCAGTCGCGCGCGGGTGATCGGCTTGGTCGTGTACGTGACGTTCGCGATGTACTGGTTCAGCGAGTGGCTGAAGAACACGGTGCACACGACGATCGCGGGGGTGTACGGGTCGTGGTACTTCTGCAGCGGCACGGCGCAGGGGATGCCGGCGGGCGCGACGCGGGGCGCGCTGCGGCGGGCGACGACCTACTCGTTCGGCAGCATCAGCTTCGGGAGCTTGATCATCGCGCTGATCAACATGCTGCGGCAGGCGTGCAGCGTGGCGCAGCGGCACGAGGCGGCGCAGGGCAGTCTCGTCGGCAGCGTGGCCTTCTGGGTCCTCGGGTGTTTTATCAGCTTGCTGGACTGGCTGGTCACCTTCTTCAACCGCTACGCCTTCTGCCACATCGCGCTGTACGGCAAGGCGTACCTCCCCGCGGCGCGCGACACCTGGACCATGATGAAGGACCGCGGCGTCGACGCCCTGGCCGCCGACTGTCTGGTCGGGCCCGTGCTGACCATGGGGTCGGTCTTCGTGAGCTACGTGTGCGCCCTCCTCGCCTACCTGTATCTGCGGTACACCCAGCCGGCCTACAACCAGGACGGGGACTTCACGGCGGTGATCATGGCGTTTGCGTTTGTGATCGGGCTGCAGATCTGCCAGATCTTCATGACGCCGATGAGCAGCGGCATCGAGACCATCTTTGCCGCCATGGCGTGGGATCCCCAGGTCATGATCGAGCAGCATCCGGATCTGTATCAGCGGTTGGTGCAGTTGTATCCGCGGGTGCAGCAGGCGATTCATGCGTAGGGCCGGGAGGCTTCAGGGTTGGTTTTGTGCTGAATAGGTGGCGTACTGTATGACTATAGGGGTTGGTTGTTGTTTGTCTAGTAGACTTGTCTCTCGGGTCTAGATACTGTGGTGGTTAGACTGCACGCAGTACTATAGTGTATCCTCAAGCCGCCAGAGGCACTGCTAATTCAATAATAATGCTAATATACTGTCAATACACTGGCAAAGTAATGTCACCATCATGACTCATTCAAAGATAATCTCATTTTCATTCCTCATGAGCAACCAAGTCAAATCAAATCAAGTCAAGTCAAGTCATACACACATAAACCAGAACATCCAAACCCAATCTCCTAACCTCTTCCTGCACAATCTTTTCCCATCCAATATCAAATCAAGAAATCGACCCCTGTTCAAAACCCAATATCACAAACGCCAGCATCAGTATCCATCCATCCAGAAAGAAATCATGACCCAAACGCACACATCACCACTCCCATCATTTCATGAAAGGTTCATCACAGAAGAAGCACCACCGCCCCAACCAAGCAACCCACCCCCGGAACCCCCCAGCCACGCCTCTGCAAGGCCCCCGCACCCCCCTGAAACAACCCGCCATTCGGCTCCCCTGCCCCGGGAGCCTGCTGCCCCTTGCCCGAAGGGAAAGCACTCGACCCCCGAACATCCGTCGCGGTGGCCGTGGCCGTCGGGTTCACGGTCACGAGCTTCACGGACGAGGAGGTGATCGTCGGGACGGGGAGGCTGCTTGCGCTTGCTAGCGTTGTGGGGGTGGTTTTTGAGGTTGAGCTTGAGTGGGAGGAGGTGGGGGTGGGGGGTGTGGTTGCGCTTGTTTGGAAGGTTGCAGCAGCAGCAGCAGCATGGACCGCTGTAGCGCTGGCGGGAGTGCCAGCCGCACCAGCATCAGCACCAGAAGTAGCAGTAGCAGTAGCAGAGCACGCGCAGGACGTTAGCTCCGAGGCGAGGACCTCGGTTTCTTGTTGCTGCTGCTGCTGCTGCGGAGCTTGGGGTTGGGGTTGCGTTTGGGATTGGGTTTCCATCTGGGTATGGGTGTTGAAGTTGGTATAGGGGCCAGGAGCAGCCGCAACATCTGGATTCACATTCCCATCTGGAATAACCACCGACTCAAGGGGGAGGGGGACGTTCTTCTCTTCTTGGCCTGGTGCTTGGCCTGGTGCTTGCGCTGCTGCTGCAGTGCCAAGAACAGAATCATCAGAAGGAAGAGGGAGGACGTCCTCCGGGAGGAGAAGGGGGTCCGGGTGCAAGTTGGGGCTGTAGGCTCTTGCTTTCAGGTGGCCTGCTTCTGATGCCTGTGTCTGTGCTTGTCCTTGGGCGTGGGGGTTTGTATCTGCCTGTGCGAGAGGCTGGTTCAGGGTCGTGATCGTGGTCTCTCCGCCCAGCCGCACCATGGGCCGACTTGCTCGGCGCGGGACAGCAGCTTCAGCTTCAGCATTAGCGATTGCGGTGGGCGTAGCTAGACTGCTTGAAGATGCAGCTGCAGAGCTACTAGCCTGCAGATCCCCCACGCGCACCATGGGCTGACTACCTCGATGCGATCCACCAAGGACGCTGGCGCTAGCGCTGGCAATAGCACTGGCACTGGCACTGGCACTGGCACTAGCACTCACACCCCCACTCGCACCTGCATCCTCAGTCCCCAGCGAATCGCCCACCCGGACCATGGGCAAACTCCCTCTCAGCGGAGCGGGGGTCTCGGCAGCAGCAGCAGCAGCATCCTCCTCCTCAACAACCCCAATCCTCACCATCGGCACACTGCCCTTCCGCGGCGAGACGGGGACGTTGGCGTCGTCGCAGATATACGCGGGGATGTTTTCGGGTTCTATACCGTTAGCACACGCGCGCCTCAAACAATAGATCAAGCGTTAGGAGCAGGGGGGGGCGTACCAACACCCTCACCAGCACACTCATCCAGCGTCGCCTGGTCCAGCGCCGAGGGATCGAACGGGGCATTACAGAAGCAATCCAGGGCGGAGGGGGAGGTGCATTGGGCTTCGGGTTGGGACTGAGACTGGGACTGGGACTGGGACTGGGATTGAGGCGTCTGGTAGGACCGGGCTATGGAAGACTACACCCTCTCTTATTCATTAGTATTCGATATCCCATGGTCCAAGATGTCGGGACAAAGTCAAGGAAGAGAGGGGGGGGATGCGTACGGCGCAGCGGAGATACCCCAGATCTTTGTTGGTAGTAGCCGTGGCGAGGGTGATGGTCGAGAGGATAAGAATTGCTGCACGCATCTTGTTCGTGTGTGCACAGTGCACAGCACACAGCACTACAGTCTCTGGATGGTGAAGATGATATCCTGAAGGGAGCTTGATGGCAGGGTTCTATGGTGTTGCGTCCGCCTATATACAAGTGGTCAGCACTCAGTCCTCCCCCCATACATACATACATACATACATGCAATGCTACCCTCCCATCCCGATCGACTTTGCATCGCCATCCCCTGGATTCCAGATTCCAGCACCAATCCTCAAAGGTGGCGCGGTCCGACGTCGCAGAGCGGAATGTAGGGGAGCGTCTCGATCGAGTAAGGTATGCGGCCGGCGAATGTATCGCCAAAGTTTGTAGTGTCACATCCCGGGTGTGCATCTATCTGCATGTATGCATGTCACTGGCCAGGGGCGAATGGGAATCAGTGTAAGCATCTACGCATCCCTAAAAAGAGGCGACCGAGAGGCAATAATAGACACAAATTGGAACGGGAGTTGGAACGGGAAGTTGAAGTGGCAAGATGGAATGCTCCGCATCCCCTGTCATTAAAACGAATTATCCAACAGAGCTGTACTGAGTATATTCAACCAAAAGGCAAGAATCAAAACCTCTCGCTGGTCACACACCGCGTGGCGTTCACCAGCACCCACGCAAACACCTTGACCGCCCAAGTGAGCAGCTGCACCACCACCTCCAACCCCAAAAACACCACCCGCAGAATGGCCCGCGTGATCCCCGGCAGCTTCTGGCCCTCCCGCGACGAGCCATGCCCGTACCGCCCGTACCGCTCCAGGTCGAATTCCTCCACCACGATTTTCCGGTTCTTCTTCTGGGCCCGGGGGCCCCGGCCCCAGGACCGGTACCAGCGCCGCGGTGGTTGCTCGCTCTTCTCCGAGACCGATGACGATAACGCCGACTTCACCGTCGACCACAGCTGGTGGCCCTTCTGCGCCTCATCCCGCTCTGCCGCTGCTGTGACCAGGTCGCTGCGGTAGCCGGTGCCGTACGGTCCCTGTCCCTGTCCCCATGGCGTGATGGACCGCTCGGATCCGTACAGCACCAGTTCCTTCAGGATCGGGCCGGTGGCCTCGTCCGACACGGCGACGGCCAGCATCGCCGCGACCACGGAGTCAATCGCGTACAGAGACGGGACGGTGTTGATGGTCGAGACCCCGGAGATTGAGAGGGTCATCGTCCCCAGGTCCAACGCGGCCAGCGGCTCGTCCGAGTCCATCAACGGCAGCGTGGAGGTGCGGGGCGTCGCCGCCGTGTTGGCCGACTCGATCGCGTTGGCCGACACGGGCGTGGTCACGAGAATGATCGGGGGCTGACTGGACCGGGACTCGGCAGAGGCACTGGACACGGTCACTTGCAGACTCCCAGCGTATTTCGATCGCACCGGGGACAAAGGGATGCCTGCCGCGCCGACTAACGCCGGCGGCTGCTTGCAAAGAGCCGGGTGGTGCAGCTCGTAGTTATGTTTTGTCGAATTCCAGAACAGCTTGCATGACTCCTGCTCGGCCACCCGCTTGAGAGCATCAGCCTCCAGCTCGATCGCATCTTGGTGGGGCAATTGGTGCTCCTTGACCATCTCCGCAACCTGATCCAGGGCTAGCACGGCGGCGAGGCGGGGCAGCAGCAGCGAGACTAGATTGTCTCCGCGCAGTTCCCGCCGAGATCGATCCTCCACTTTGAATGTCATTATCGGAACGCTATTACTGGATCTGGAGGGATTGATCCTCGTCAGAGAGATCCCGTCATTCGGTTCAATCTGCATCGTATAGAATGGCGCGGTGGGTTCTCCGAAGGAAAATGATGTAGGCCCACTCCTGCATCGAGTCAGCAACCATTCAAACATTCCCCAAACATCCCATGCTCACCGTTGCAGACGCAGATTGAACGTCTCCGGCATATTCTGCGGCCTTTGACCATTGGCCGCTTCCCACAAACTCCTCAGCTCCTCCACGGAAGAGTATCGCATCTCAGGTGTATCCAGCACCCCCAAGGGGAAATTCAGCACGCTAGCAGGCACCGTCTTCGGGCCGAGGACCTGGTCAATCTCCGGGGCAGGCGACAGGAGGATGTTGCTTGGTCTTGAGTAATTCCGAGGAGTATGGCCGGACGCCTGGGGATAGTATGCTTGCTGATTGAGTGGTAGCTGCGGGTTATACTGGGGAAACATGGACTTCATAGGAGGTGCCGGCGACTCTGACTTGGGCGTTGTTTCTGCGATGGGCGTGGACCCTCCTTTGCTGCGTTTCGAGCTGGATGAAGACCCCACTCGCCCGGCCATCCGGTCTTCCGATGTAGTGGCGTTGGCATGTGAAGCATTCCGGCGTGCATCGTGCTCCTGGGGTGTTCCCAACGATGAGGACTGCGAGGGCCGAGGAACGTGGGCCTTTGGGGGTGCTGGGACGCTCTCGGGATTTTGGTCCACGCGGAAAAGCATCCCCTCGGCCACGGTGCCCTTGTTACCGAGGGTCTTGAGAGGGATCGCATCAGCCAGCGGTCGACCGCCGGCTTGCCTTCGCTTCCCTTTTAAGAACGGGTTGTTAGAGGTCCCACTCTCCGGAGATGTGGGAAAGAGCTGAAACGAGCTCATGATCTGAGAAGACGTCCTGGAAGCAAGTGATCGTCACTGCACACGTCAATACTATTGAACAATACCAGCAAGTCAGTCAATGCACAGCTCAACACCACTGAACAATTCCAGCAAGTCAGTCCATTGGACACCAACCCCAGAAAAACAATAGGCGACAGAGCATAGATATACTCGACCCGCCAGGCAACGCAATCGCCCACCCACCCCCGTGTCACGGAGCGGTGACGGCAACGGCACAGACACATAGACCTCGGGGCAAGCTTGGCCTGCCAAACTTCGATAAGCCGGCCATCGAAAGGGCGGCAAGGGTCTGCGACATGACAGGCTGTCACCGGGGCGCAGAACGCGAGGGATCCCTGAACGCCCGTGGTCGGCGCTTAGATGGCCCACCATGCAGCAGCGGTGATAGGCTCCCCCGCTTTGGCACCGGCGTGACTATTGTTTAGCACGGCGCGTCGGAAAGTGATAGCAGAGGTGATGGGCGATCTGATTTGGCCGGCATAGATTATTGTCTAAGTGATGATTGATCGGCTGTGGTGCATGATTTGACCGTCGCGTGGTCTGAAGAATAGTTGCATGGGTTGCATGGTTTAGAGACGTCTGCAGGAGGCTGGATAGCGCAATATCGTCACCTGCTGGCCCTTGTGAACGGCCATGACTGGTTAATTCATTCGTGCTAACTGCTATGGCTCAGAGCCAAGAGTTGCAGAGATAGTGAGTCGTGAGTCGTGAGTGAGGGGGGAGTGTGAAGTAATGGAAGTAGTAGCAGGATGGATGAAGATGGCGGGGAATCAACAACAATGCAGCGTGACATCAGCAAAGCCGTAAGCGCGCTCCACCAAGACACAACACAATGAACGACAAATTGCCGAGTGGCTATAATACATCAACCAGCCTGTGCTTAGATCTAATTTACATGAGACTCGACTCTAATCTACAAAATCTTTAATCGCTGTGATGAACCCTGAACATCAACCCCTCGGCCATAGCAATGGCGCCCTCCATGTTGCCCTTATTGTAAAGGAACAGGCCCTGTAAGGCAGCCGCACTGGTGCTCCTCGACAGATCGGCCTTGTTCCCATCTGCATCCTCGATGAGCCCCAATTCCTGCAGTCGGTCGAGGAACGCCTGGCGGTAGACGGCGCTCTGCTCCAGCTCCCCGTAGAACCGGTCCCAGAGACGGCCGACCTGATAGCGACTGACCTCGCCCAAGCGCACCGTCATGTCCACCCGGCCGGGTCTCACGAGCGCCTCATCCAGTCGCTCGACGTGGTTGGTGGTGAGGAAGATAATCCGCTCCTCGGCGCTCGCCACGCCGTCCAAGGCATTCAGCAGCCCGGAGAACGTCACGTTGGCCCCGCGGTACCCGTCCTCGTCCGTCTGGGTGCGGCGGTTGGAGAACGCCGCATCGACGTCCTCCAGCAGGACCAGCGTCCGGTTCGGCAGGATCGTCAGCAGATGGTTCAGCCGATCGTCGGTCAGCCCGCGCTCGCTCAGGTTCAGAATGGCGATGTCGTAGTCCAGCTCGCCGGCCAGAGCCTGGATGAACGAACTTTTCCCCGTGCCGGGCGGCCCGTAGAGCAGATAGCCGCGGCGGTAGGGGATGCCCCGGTCCTGGTACCACTTCGAGCTCGCGGTGAAGTCCTTGACGTCCTCCACGATCCGCTCCTTGACGCCCTCGTCGAGGATCACCGACTCCAGCGGGCGCTTGGTCCGCGGCTTGCCGAAGGGCTTCCACTCCGTGCCCCAGCTGTTGTAGATGGTCGTCTTGCCCTCGTGCGCCTGGACCGCGTACGCGTGCGCCTCCTTGAAGATCTCCTCGAACACGTGGCGATGGGCGTACAGCGTCGTGAGCGTGATGGTCTCCCACGGCTGCCCGGTCTTCAGGTCCACCGACTTGGCCTCGCGCATGCGGTTCACGAAGATGAAGGCGTTGTTGTACCGCAGCACGTGGTGGCCCATACCCGGGACGAGGGCGAACTGCGTGTGGATGGCGCCGTTGGTGTGTTCGACTTTCTGCGTTTGGATGGACAGATGGCGCGTGCCCGGGGTCAGTTTGCGGAGGATCGATTCCATGAAGCCAGACCGGCTGGCGGCGGCGGTGGCGGCGACGCGAGTCGTGTTGAGTTGGGAGCTTTGGTACAGCGTCATCCAGTGCAAAAACCACGGGTAGGATTCATCCTTGACACTGATCTCGACGTCGACGAGCATGCGCCGGCGGAGGAGCGCAGCGCCATGGCGGAGTCCCTTTTGCGCTAGACTCAGTCCAGCTCCCAGACCTGCGAGACCGAATCCCTAGTGTCACCAAACACAGCATCAGTATCTTTCTCCTCCTCAAAAAGAACCAAAAACCTGTTTTCGTTGATCGCGTTGAATTGCTCACCGCTGTGAAGAAAGGATTGCTGGTAAGCTGCGCGAAGAGCCCGGCATCGCTGGGGGTCTGGGCGGCCGCTTGGATGGCGTCTTTGCGTTGCTGGGCAATCAGATCGCCAGGTGACGGCGGCCCTGAGGTGGTTGATGGTCCATTGAGGTCCATACCAGAAGATGAACGATCAGCCTGCACCGCCTCCGCTACTGGATCATTCATGCTCTCTGGAGTCGGCGACGGTCGGTTAATTCCGAGCCCGCCGGAGTTACGAAGGGCCGAAATTATTTCCGATCTTCGGCCGACTCTTTTCCGTCTGCAGCAACAACAATGCATTCTCATTTGATGGTTCTATCTATCCCATGATTGATGGTATCGGTATCAACACCTCAATCTACCCCCACAATCACAACTTATACCTCCCTATGAATGAATGACCCGGCAAATGCCCCCGCCAACCGCATCAAAACCCTTTTCATGATCTACGACACGAGAGTCTCTGGCCTCATCGTGGGGCTATAAAACACCAGTTCTCACGGCGTCTACTACATCATCTTAGTCCATCAATAGCAAGAAGAAGTAGATCAAGTATTACACACTAGTGAATTATGAGTGCAGAATAGAAATCGAAGCTAAAGTACATTGACCGTCTTGGACTAAACTGCTTCCTGATTCAAACTGAGAACAAAAAGAAAACAATAACCACCGAGCTCAACGGGAAAAGAAACCTGCCAGATTTGTTTGCGCTCCTATTTTACTAAATATGACTATGAAACATTGGCCAACTGGACTAAGCCAAGCCGATGATCGTAGCCAGAACAACAGCCACCCACCACGTCCAGGATACACCCAGCGTTGCACCGGTATTCGACCACAAGGGTGTGTAACTCGGCGACGGGGTCGGGGTCGGGGTGGGGGTGCCTGAGCGGGAGATCCAGGCTGAGGAAGATGGGAACCAGGGGTTCGGCAACCGAGTCGATGTTGGGGAACCGCCCCCGGGGATCACACCGATCGTTGTCTTTGAGCTGGCTGTGGCAGTTGTGAATACGACTTGCGGGACGGTCACTGTCCAGGTGGAGTAGGTGATTGTGGTGCAGGGAACTGAGGGAGCAGCAGCAGGTCCGCTGGTCAGCCTGACGCTCGTTCCAGTGTGGGTGACTTGACCGCTGACGGGCGCGACACCGCTTGGGGCGGGGGTCGGGCCTAGCGTAATGCTGGACGGGATATTTGTGACAATGCCGGGGTTCTGGGGCACCCAGGCTGCACAGAGTCCAGTGAAGCATGAGAGGCCGGCTTGGACTTCTGTCGAGGAGGAGCCCCACGCTTGGATGCATTCAATCACCTTCTTGGTGAATTTTGCCGAGGGGCAGTAGCAGCTCGTGTCGCTGTTCGAGGTGCACTTGGGGACCAGTTCGAGCCAGGTGTTGATACACTTGGGAACCACGCTGGGACACGAGGCAGATGGAGCCGATGAGGAAACCCCGGTAACGGGGGCAACTCCGGTGGGAACCACGACCGTCCTTGCGATGGTTGATGTCGCGACCATTGTGATTGTGGACACAGTGCTGGAGACTGAGGTAATCGGCTGTCCAGCAGAGGTGATCACCGTCGTGACGGGACATGTTGTTACAGTCTGCCATGTCACCACAGTGGTTGCCTTCTCAACAGACGTGACAGGAGCCACAGCGGTTGGAGTGGCCGAGCATTTGGGGCAGATCGTGGAGACAGAGGTCAAAACCACGGTTGAGACTGTGCTAGTGACCGAAGTGACTGGAATACCACTTGAAGTAATGACTGTAGTCACTGGGCAGGTGGTCAATGTTTGCCAAGTGACGACTGTCGTCGTGCTCTCAAGCTCAGAGGAAACAGGGGAGACACCTGTAGGGCCCGATGGACCACCAGAAGAGATGGCAGACGTCACGGTGGGAGGAGGCCCAGTTGTAATCTGAGATTGAGAAGAGACGGGCAAGACACCTGTGGGCCCAGAAGGAGCACCAGTTGAAGTGGTTACGGTCACAGTGGAAGCACTGGCTGTTGGCACGGAAGGGGAGCCGGTTACGACAGAAGCTGGGGCTGAGGGAACACTGACAGCAACAGATGTTGCGATGGTGGAAACCGAGGTCAGAGTCACCGTCGAGATAGTACTTGTAACCGAGGTAAAAGGAACACCACCCGAGGTGATGACCGTGGTGACCGGGCAAGTTGTCAAAGTCTCCCAGGTGACTACAGTGGTTGTGCTCTGCAACTCAGATGAAATAGGTGAAGTACCTGATGGAACTGGCGTGGGAGCAATGCATCTCGTGCAGATGGTCGAAGTCGAGGTGACAAATACAGTCGACTCAGTGGACCCCACCGAAGTAGATACAGTGCCACCTGCAGAGATAGTGGTTGTCACGGGGCTGGTAGCAACAGAAGTTATTGTGACAATCGTGGTCCTGTCCACACTTGAAAAGGTTGACGAAATGGCACCCGATGTAACAGGAGCCACAGCAGAGGGGACTGTTGTAGGCGCAATGCACTTGGTGCAGATGGTTGACACCGATGTAATAGTGATTGTTGATTCACTGGAGCCCACCGAAGTAGAGACAGTTCCGCCGGCCGAGACTGTAGTGGTCACAGGGCTGGTGGACACCGAGGTGATTGTGACGACTGTGGTCTTGTCCACACTTGAAGTAGTTAATGCAACGGGCCCAGATGTGACGGGAGCCACAGCGGATGGGACTGTTGTAGCAATGCATTTGGTGCAGATGGTTGACACTGAGGTAAGTGTGACAGTTGAGACAGTAGTTCCTACTGATGTGCTTACAGAACCCCCTTCCGAGACCGTCGAGGTCACAGGGCAAGTCGTGACAGTGACATATGTAACCACAGTAGTTTTGTCCACGCTAGTGACTGGGACGGGGCCTGACGGAGCTGGGCCCGATGAGATCGGACCGGAGGAGATAGGTGCCACACCAGAGGGAATTGTTGTCGCAATGCACCTGGTACAGATAGTTGAGGTCGAAGTAAGTGTGACGGTTGAAACTGTAGTTCCAACCGACGTCGACACAGAACCACCGTCGGAGACTGTCGATGTCACAGGACAAGTAGTCACTGTGGTATATGTGACAACAGTAGTCTTATCCACACTGGTGATTGGGGCAGAACTCGATGGCGCGGGTCCTGTTGGAACGGGTCCCGATGAGACAGGACCTGATGGGATGGGAGCCGAAGTAACAGTACCAGAGGTAGTAGAACTGGTGACCGAGCCAGTGGCAGTTCCAGTAGCAGACCCAGTAGCAGACCCAGTAGCAGACCCAGTAGCAGATCCAGTAACTGAACCAGTGACTGACCCGGTGACAACACCAGTGACAGTAAAAACAGGACCAGATGAAACAGGCGCCACAGAAGACGGAAGAGGCAATGTGAGCGACGTAGAGAGCGAAGTCGGAGTCACAGCAGGAATCGACGACGGAACCGACGTCGGAGCAATGCACCTCGTACAAATAGTTGAAGTGGACGTCAACGTTACAGTCGACACCGTCGTTCCCACCGAAGTACTCACAGAGCCGCCTTCAGAAACCGTTGCTGTCACAGGGCATGTAGTCAGTGTGACATAAGTGACAACGGTCGTCTTGTCTACACTCGAGATGGGCGCGCTTGGGCCAGGAGTATTGGCAGGAGCGGATGAAACTGGACCCGAAGAGATTGGAGCAACGCCTGAAGGAACAGTGGTAGAAGGGGCGATGCATTTGGTGCAGATGGTAGACGTTGAGGTCATCGTCACTGTAGATAGTGTCGTGCCCACTGACGTAGTCAGTTTGCCGCTTACAGTTCCTGTGGAGGTGACCGGGCAGCTGGTCACGGTTACCCAAGTGATCACCGTGGTCTTATCCACGCTCGAGACGGGCACACTTGGTGTGGTGACGGGAGCGGATGGTATAGGACCAGACGAGACAGGACCCGAGGAGATGGGCGCCACGCCCGACGGAACAGTTTTTGGCGCAATACATTTGGTGCAAATGGTCGACGTTGAGGTCATGGTCACGGTAGAAAGCGTCGTGCCCACTGAAGTAGTCAACTTGCCGCTGACAGTCCCTGTGGAGGTGACCGGGCAGCTTGTGACAGTCACCCAGGTGATCACTGTAGTTTTGTCCACGCTTGATGCAGGTACACTGGGCCCTGGGGTAGTAACGGGAGCAGAAGGGACAGGACTGGACGAGATAGGGCCCGAGGAGATGGGTGCCACTCCCGATGGAACGCTGGTTCGGGCAACGCATTTGGTGCAGATAGTCGATGTTGAAGTCATAGTCACCGTAGAAAGAGTAGTGCCCACAGAGGTGGTCAGAGTTCCACTGACGGTACCCGTCGAAGTCACCGGGCAGCTTGTCACCGTGGCCCAGGTAATCACCGTGACCTTGTCCGCAGCCGGAGCAGAGGAGCTAAGCCCTGGCGTGATTACAGGTGCGGACGTAGGCGTGTGGATCAACTGAGAAGAGGTCAACTCCACAGGAGAGCTTCCAGAGGAAAGGGTATTGGAAAGCGCGCTACTCGAGTGCGTAAAGCTAGACGTGCTGGTGGATGGTGTGACAGTTGGGACGACTTCGCTGGAGTGCGTTAAGCTGTGGACCGCGCTGCTAGAAGGCGTGACGGTCGGTGTAGTCGTGCCAGAAGAAGTATCGACGGGGACAGTTACGATGGAAGAAGTAGCAGTAGGGACAGCGACGCTAGACTCCACGCTGCTGGTAGAGGTAACATCTGGCACCTCCGTCGAAGACTCATCTGCAGAGGTCTCTGTGGCAGAATGAACGGCAGTAGACACGGGGATCGTCGACGTAATCACCGTGGTGGAGTCTGCTGGACAATTGGTCACCGAAGGGCCACAGCTGGTGATCACGATTTCACTGGTGATATAGTATGTCGAAGTCGCCAGGTTATTAGTCGGCGCCTCTGGGGCAGGAGTCACGACAGCTGCAGGAGTGGTCCGATCCTTTCGAATGAGCGGCACGGAGTACGCCCTCGCATTGAGCCCAGACGCAGTGTCGGAAGGATTGGATGCTGTCGACGCCTTACCAGAAGAGCAGTCGAATCCAATCCTGTACACACTCAACAAGCAGAGATCGACATTCGCCTCTTCAGCCAGTAGAAAGCTCACGGAGGTGGCACCGCCGCACTGGTCATTGGCGACAGTGGACCCGTTGGCGGAGACAGAAGCAAAGGTATTGCAGGTGGTACCATCAGCCATGCCATAAACGATGCGGATGTCAGCAGTGCGGGAGGTGGCAAGCTGGAAGTCATTGACGGAGAAGTCTTGGTCCTTTGATGCAGATGATATCTCTGGAGCCGACGAGGTATCCTTGGTGAGTGTTCCCACGATGGATTTGGCCTGGTCCAGTTAGCCAGCAACTTTCATCTCCATCACCGACGCCGTCATACTTACGCCAGAAGCCGTGCTGAAATTATTGCGCACGGAGAAGCCCGAGAACTCAAAGCCTGCATAGCTCGGGGAGGATCCGACAGCCAGGTCGGACCAGTCAAACCCAGCTTGCTGCTGCTCAGAACAGGTCGTCTTGGTGTTGTCAGGGCTGGTAAAGCTCTCGTCGGTGTTCCACCACTGCGGATATCAGCACGAGCACTGCGGATCTGAGGTAGACAAACTTACCACACTTGACCCTTGGGCCACGCCGACGAGAGCCAGAAGAGAGACCGAGGCAATGGCCCTCATGGCGAATAGATAAGCGAAGTGACTGAGCGAGAGTAAAGTCTTATGATGCTATGAGACAGAGATGGCTGATATCCTTCAGTGGTCAAGATACCTTACGACGACGATACTGAGAACGAGGAAGAAGAAGAAGAAGAAGAAGATGTCGAAGAGACAGAGAGAGAGAAAAAGTATACAGCAAAAGCGATTGACAAGATCGAACGAGTGTTAGTAGTCAGATGAAACGAATGTCTCTATGTCCAGCAACGAGCACCAACAACAATGGGAAGGGGAATAAATAGCAACACAATTGTAGAGAGCGAAGAAAGTGAATAGAAAGAAACGCAGCGACCCACCCGCTTTCAAAGAGGGCGTTTGATCTCTTAAATCCATAACACCGGGATGCTGCAACAGGGTCGGGGTTGAGTGGTATCCATCAAAAGCAATAGGATAAAGAGCCCTCCTGCCCGAGAGACTCTGAGGAAGAGGGACCATGCCCGGTCAAGACTCCACCCACCCCGTCCATTCACTGGCCGGGGATGTTGCATGCAAGCATGGCTGGCGAAGCATTTGGATTTCCTCGTCTCTACAAGTAAGACATTCTTCAAGGTTGTAGTGAGCGGTTGGTGCGACGGAGAGCCGACCCAACGCGGAGGCGCCGACTGTTCCGCTAGTGCAGGAACAGGCTGAAGGACCCTGACAAGGACTGGAGGGAACGAGGGGGAGGCGCGAAGTCAATTACACCCATCGCCAATCACCGTCGACGAGAGGCTATTGTCGGAGCTGATCCCAGAATAGGCGCAGGTCCTGGTGGAGGTGAGGTGAGGTAATGTGCCGGAGGGGCCATTAGCTAGGTGGTCATTCATTCATTCATTCATTGTCTTGCAACCAGAGGTAAAGAGAGTTGAGAACAGTCTCACAGTGTTAACAATGACAGCCCGACTCCTTCAGGCTTAGCTCCGTTTGGAAAAGACAATGACGATGAGTCTCTGTCTATCTTTTCAGACCAACAAGTACCTGCCAAGAAGATAGATGTAGACATCCCAAAAGAGAGAGAGAGAGTAGTTGGTGTAAGTTAGTAGATGAAGGATGCAAGTCTGCCGCGGGATGAGCGATGACTAGTTACTAGGTAACGTACAACTAACTTACAATAAACTCAACTACTGTTGCAACTAAGTCACACCACCTCAAAATAACCCAACCGCCACCCAAAGAACCCCTCCCTCGGCAAACAAGAAAAGAAAAGAAAAAAAAAAAAAGGCCAATTCGCCTTTTCATTTCAAATCGTTCGAACCACAAAACCTACAGAACAAAATTCCCTCTAAGCTCACCATGCAGCAAACGGGCGTCTCGCGCTGCAACCTTCCCCCCTCGAACATGGCACTGCCCGCAACATCAAACATACTCAGGCAAAGGGAAATCTACCAACCTGAGCGGCTATTTTTGTTTTCTAACCTACTGATCCAATAAGAAAAAAGCGAACGCCAGTCATTTCTAGATTAGGATAGTTCATCACCAACCAAACGCAAAAGACTACTGGTGCAAGTTCGATCTCAGCATTGTTGAAAATAACCACCGAACAGATGGAGATCGCTGCTGCGGCTTAGCGCCCGGATCTGAATAGATGATGTGAAGATGAAGAACGGTGCAGATACTAAATTTCACAATAACAGCAGTAGCAATAGCAGATCTCCACGATCTCCACATCTGGAAAAAAAAGATATGCTAATTACCTCCATCCAGAAAAGCTTCAGAGAGATACTACCTCACCCATCCTACCTGCAAACAAACAGATGAGCTACTACGAATGGTGCTAGCTCATCGCGGCCGGCAGCCAACCGTCGGACATCTTGCTGAAGAAGCTTCGCTTCCCAGAGGCTGGCCACCCAGAGGTTGGCATGAAAATTCGGGCCTGTGGAGTCCGGTTCTGCACCGTGTCGGAGGGTACGGCCTCATATTGATGAACTTTGGAGGGGAACGGCGAAGGGGATTCGTCGAGACTCGGGTCTAGCTTGTTACCTATATATATCCAGCGGGCCCATCAGAGTCAAGCATTCGACGATATGCACTTCGCATGTTGCACAAAAGGCCCGGACCTTTTGAGCTATGAAGCCGCAATACCCTCGACTACCCTGGCGGTGGCTTGCATAGGGTAGTATCACTTCGATGCTCCATATCTTCCGTGTGTTCAATAATCCCGAAACACGCAGTCGGATGGAGCAACACAGAGATCGGTCTCATTGGACCTTCAGCAGAGCGTGGTACTACGTTATCAAACATAATCACAATCGATCCTAGAAATTTGATTTTCGAATTATAGTAGCCTGGAAAATGACAAACGCCGTAACATGACACATGGCATACGAGATTGAGAACATAGCTAGAAGATAGTATGAGAGTTTACCTGATCCTTCGCAACAAGGTATATCCCTTTTTGAACTCCGTGAAACATCATCATCAAGCTGAACTTTTGGTCATGGAGTAATCCTCCAATCCTCTAGACCATGAGAGTAAATCGACTGTTTCAGTCAGAACATGCAGTCCGAGTACCTTTCTATGCTTTTGCCGAGAATTAGGTTCCCGTCTTTTTAGATATCAGCGCTTTGGCAGCAATGTACAGTTAATCGTATTGTTTTCGTTGTTTTTAGTTCAGCGAGGGCTACCACATCGACGGGTGCGCCATAAGACCTGAGTGACAAGGGTCATAGAAGACTTCGACAGCCAGCGTTCTTAGAAGGGAAGCTGACTGCGACGGTGGGCATCCATCAACTTTCGTCGGACGGCTTCCCCACCGTTGTACCCGTTGGGTTTCCGCTTACGCGTAGGGGTTCGTTGGTCTGCATTACGTGCGTGTCTAAACACACTTGCAGGGCGAGAAGGTGAGTTGGCGGGCATAAACTCCCGATGTTGGGGCAGGCGCAGCAGTGCTTGGTAGCGGTTGTGATTGCGGCGGAATGCGGTCACAATGCCTCGATCCAAATGATTAAGGAACCGCTCTGCACTGCTAGCATGATGGGACTCGCCAGCCCGGCTCGGGGTTGGCGTGCCAGTGCCGGCATGCTTGGTCTGAGCTGCCATGGGTGAGAGTAGTGTTTCCTCTTCAAACACCTTGTCCATCTCATCATCGGACGACTCATGGCCGAAGTCAATGAAGTCCTCGACATTCAGGGCTGATTCCGGATCATCCTCATCGTCGTCCTCGAAGGAACTGTCAATGGCAAAGTCCCGAGACGGGTAAAAAGCCTCGGGAGGCCCCATCACCTGTCCGCCTGGGGCAATATCATTGCCGAGTGCCGTCATCATCAGATTGGCACTGGAGGCCAGCATCGGGCTCATATCGAGGTGGCCGGGCGATGCGAGTGCATCTGTATCGCTCTCATCGATGAGATGCATGGTGGTGGCACGTGGGCTGTTGTGAGCCGTACCACATACACTGTTGGTAGCGGACTCCAGCCAGTCATGGCGAGACGAGGCATAGGCGGGAATAATGACCAGATGTTTACCAGTGCAATCAACGAGCGCAACAGGCTTGTGGGGGTCCGCGACGAAGGTACCCATGATAGGCCCGCGGCGCCGACTCACAGGCTCAGGCTTTTCCTCGACGGGAGGTGCAAGAGAGGCGGATGAATCGCGGCGAAGGATAGATCTGGGATGAGTGATGGTAGCGGGAGGGGGAAGGTCTTCATCTGTGGTCTCGCCATCATCGGCTTCAAAAGGGTCAGCAAACGTAGTGTAAAAAGTTCCCAAGCATTCTGCATACTCTCATAGCCGCTCGATTCCGAACCCTCGGAAACAGCGTCGGATTCCACGTGATAGATGTTCGAATGTCCGTAGTCAGAGTCGGCAAACATCTCCTCTGACTGACGGCGCTGGCGCGGGAAGTTCTCATTGTCGCTCTCGATCATACGACGCAGCTGGGGATCCAGGCTGTCCTGTTGGAGGAAGTCACTTGGAATCTCGTCTTCAGTGTGTGAATCACTGTCGGAGGAAGAATCGGAGTCTTCTTCAAAGTGCACCCGGCGGGGCATGGGTATCTCGACGGCAGTCTCGCTGGCCATTTCGTCGCCGAAGGTTTCCATTGCGCTATAGAGCTGTTCGTCGTCGAAAAATGACGCAGCCGACAGGAGCATATGGTCGTCAAAGACATTGGGGCCGGCCCAGTCATTGGTCTCTGTGGCGGCGGCGACGGTCAAGATGTTCTCAACGGCATGCTCATCCTCGGACTCGACGATCAACAATTCCTCGAGTTTCTCCACATCGTTGTCCTCATCGTCTTCTCCGTCACTGATATAATCAACGGCAGCATAGATATCATCCGAGTTGTCCTCGTCAGAATCGTCATCGTCATCGTCATCACTGCTTCTTTGGCCATCGTAGCCATCGTCATCGGAGTATTTCATCTTCTTGGTCCGTTTGGCAGACTTCATGCCCGTCTTATGAGACCGATCCCGACGGCCATAAGACGGGCCGCGAACAGCCGGCTGTTCATCTTCTTCATCGTCGGCATCATCGTCCTCCGAGTCGTTATCCTCCTCGTCGCTAAGCTCCTCGATGGAGGAGACCGACGACACACTGGAGACCGATATAGACGAAGCCCTGCGTTTCCGGTCCATGCCCAATGATCCAAGAGCGAGGCCCTTGTTCGAGGTTCTAGGTGAGCGACCCGTCAGGGTGTGTTCGAGGGAATGAGCGGAGGGTCGACGAGTCGGGTTGCGCTGGATACCCTTTGCGGCAGTCTGGGGGGACCGCTTGGGCGAGTGGGCTGAGGGAGGCATTATGGTTGTTTTTGATCAGAAACGGTATTGCGGTAAGTTTGTTTTGAATGTATCTCGGCCAGTTTTAACTTGGCACGAGTGAGTGTTGACCTTGGTAGACTAATGGATCGTCAAAGTTTGCTACCCGTGAGGCCGCGCGGGATAAATCAATTGCGTCAGACTTTGTCGAAGGCGGAGTCAGGGACAGGATTGTCGTAATGGTGAGGCGGATTCCGACCGTCAATTCGTGAAAGCGTATGGGGAGAGGCAGATATGGTCGTCGTTACTTCGTCCAAGGACAAGAGAGCGAGAGAGAGTTTTCAAGGTGAAGAGGTTACGGCCAGGAGCCGGAGAACGGAAGGGTAGGGTAGGGTAGGATAAGATTGGAACGATAGCAAAGACTTTTCGAATTCGCCAAAGCACCTCAGCGTCCAGATGGGGGACGTCAAAAGTGCTTCTCGTATGAGTGTAGTGATAGGCAATTCCGACGCTGGGAATTGAAAGGTTGCGTCGAAAGAGGAGCAGATAGTCGTCAAGTTCGATGAGAGATAGTCGGAGCTGCTAGGACTGGGAAGCATGGAAATGGCAGCCGTGCTTCCCAGCGGAGAGATTTACAGCTCAACGAAGGCCATCCTGGCGCGGTACACTTGACGATATCTGGATAGTATGATGAATAAAGAAGGGGGTTTTGGGATGGAGGGGTTTGGTGGGGGGTGGGTGGTCTGTAGATGTGGAAAGAATCTGCAGTAGATGGGGGCAGAGGAAAGGAAGAAGATGAGGGGTGGAAGTTATGGGGATCGATGTTTAGAGGAAGGGGGAGGGCGGCAGGCTTACAGTACAGGCTCGCAGTAGGACGGTAGGCCCGCGGGCGTACATACTGTACAAATTCCATACCTCAAGGTACTACTAGAGACAACAATCCCGCCGGGGCGGCGGTACGGGGTGTTACTGTTAGAAACGGGTTACAGAACCAAAACAGCCTCGGACAGGCTGAAGCGGACCAAATTTTCCAGTCACGGTGGAGTATCGGCCGGCCGGTCGCAGTCATTCAGCTTGTCATTGGTTAGGAGCCACTAAAGCAAGCATGGCCATTGGCGGACAGGTGTTCACCGCATCTTTTTTTTCTTTTCCTGTTTCATTCTAGTCTCTGCTGTCGTTTTGTATTCTGGTTGACTTTTTTTTCACTCTTTTTTTTTTTTGCCTGCATTCATTCTCTCCCCACTCTCAATAGTAGCTTGCATTGCTGGCTGGTCGATTCAGCAGCGGGTCCCAGTCATCTCGAAATGAAGTCAACGGAGAATTAACAACGGTCCAGCACGATGCAGCCTTAGACCTCAGGCATTCAAGAGGCAAAATATCTTTGTCCTACAAGCTCTGACTCAAGGGATGACAGGAAGAGGCTCAGGCTCAGACCCCACAGGAATGAAATTCCTATCGAATACTCAGTCCATGGAGGAGGGAGCATGAGCATGCGAGCTGGAATAGTCGAGACCCTATTGTCCAGGGTAGAGAACTAACTTGTAAGTTAGTCACTCCTCTCGTTGGGTACCTGAAACTGCAGATGGCGTTCGGAAGTCGGTCGAACGGTCATCGTGCTCGAGGACGTGGAACGACCGGGCAGAGCGATAATCCTTAGACACTAAGCCGATGGCGCTTACGGGATTTCTTGATTCAAGTGCCATTTAGATTAGTTCGATGACTATTGAATAGCTGTGT